ACCCCACCCCTACGCAGAAAAACCCCCCCCCCCCGCCCCGACATGGAGCTCCCTCCTGTCACTCGCTGCAGCCTCTGGTGGTGACTAAAAAGCTGGGAGCAGCTCCTGTTCTGCCCTGGGGCTGAACATGCTGCCTTCAACAGGTCACCCACTCGGGAAGCACCCGAACGGCCATCGTGGGTCTCCTACACCGTAGAGCGGAGCTACTCCTGCGACCCTTGAATGCCACTTCATCATCGCTCTTGCCATTGCCGCAGCTTCCTGATGCAGGATGAGGGATCTGTCCCCTGGCAATGGAGGGGATAACGCTGCTCTTCAAATCCCAAGTCAGAGGATGGAGCGGACAGGTTCTCGGATCCGAGTGGAAACCAGGCAGCTCTATGGAAAATGCCTTGTACAAAACACAGGGATTTTGTATCCAATTGCAGACGGACGACTACAACAACAGAGTAGTGGCCTGCGCCAGCAGCTTTTCCTGAACTTTTAGGGCTATAGCTTCTCATGTGGAAATGGGTGTTTTGGGGTGCTTTCTCGCTGAAATAACCCATCCTTGTCCTGGTGGTTCTCAATAATTAGAAGAGGCTGAAGAGCAGAGGAAGGTAACAAGTCCGGCAAATACTTCTTTCCCTCCTGCCTTCTCTCTCCTCTCCCTCCCTCTCTTCCTTCCTTCTTTTTTCCTTCTCCCTCGTCTTCAGAAGCCTCCCAGCACTGGGAATTCACCTCTTGATTATTGTGCAGCTCTTCAGACTTTTTCTAGAACACGCCTTCGCTGCCCAGCAAGTCCGGTGAGATGTGACAACACACTATCGCAACAGAAGAAGTAAGGAAAGGACGTAAGCCAGGAAGGCACCGGCTTATTCATAAGCCATTGTGCTGTGCCCTGTGTGTGTAAGCAGCGAGCGCTGCCGCTGGTGTTACGGCCTGTAGAACAAAGCCACGTCGCTTAATTCAGTGGCACGAGAGGCCGGGAGAGTTTGTTTGTCTTCAGTTCCTAAAAGCATTTCAGAATCACCAGTTCCTTTGATTTCTGCATGGTAATATTGCACTCCTCCGTAAGTTTTCCCACAGCAGTTTGCGCTCCAACTGGCAATGCGCGTGGGATTTCAGTCCAATTTCATATGGCTCTTCCTTCCTATCGCTGTTGACACAAAGCCTTTCTCAGAAGAGCTGAAGCCAGATCCTCTGCTGGAGAAAATTCCCTTTGGTCTACTGCTTCCAGCACAGCTTCGCTCTCTTACACCAGCCCAGAGTCTGGCCTGTCCCGTGCTACAACAACTTCCTATCCCATACTCCTCTTTGCAGATGAAAGCTTCTTTCCCCTTCTCCTTCCCCTTCCCAAAGCTTTTGGGAGCACCCAAATATGCCATTTGGACGAAGCACAACATGCCCGTCGAGGTAGAGGCATGCTCTGGGCACGCAGCGTGGAGCCAAGCCTCTCTCGGCCACTGCCTCCCCAGATGGGCTTGGCCAAGTCACAACGCTCGCCTGTGCCTCCTCTCTCCTGCTTTTACACCGGAGCGTTTCCTGAGCCCACGGGGCCAGCGTAGCGTCGTAAGCTTCCGTAATTGTAAGGCTGGGAGGAATCCTTAGAAGGAAAACGCCATAGAAACACAGCGTTATTTTTTCTCGTGAGACAACTAAAATCTGCAGAAGTAGCTGCTTTCTGGAAGGCGCTATCGCCATGAGTAAGTGCAGAAACACGCCGCGCGCTCGGATGGATGGGTATATATGGATACACGGGGGAGAGAGAGCAGCGACAGCAAGTGCGCGTGAAGCTTTTAGCAAACACCAGCGCAGGAGCTCTCAGCCCAAGAGCCGTCGTGATCCCGGCGAGAGGCATGTCACCGTTTTCTGTCCCCGAG